CAAAGCTTCTTGTGTGAGTAGCTTATGAGTGTTGGCTGTTTGGTCCATAATTTCTGACTTCAGCTCAGCAGTACCGCCTACCTCCTTATTCCACTCTAACAAATGTTGCCCTTCTGGGGAGTCCCCTTTGCGGTGTTCATCGACCCTCGTGGCTAAATGTCGGACTGTCTGGCCGACATTAGTGGAGTTACATCCACTAAATGTAAGCTTATTTACCACTTTGGATCTCAGCTCACGAACAAAGGAAGTTTTGAGAGATGGCAAGCATGCTTTCAATTTTCTCGTTGTAAAAATTATTTGAGCCACGTATATTTTTCAAATCTTTGCAGCTTATAGTTGAGATGGATTGCCTCGATATTGCATTGTGAAAAGGGGGGTGATTTTTTTAAACCATTTATCATTTCTCAATTCTGATGCCTTCACCTCTAAATTGTTTTTTCACTCAATTATCTTGTTAAGAGTTTCAAACCTACCCTGTCCGACCAATTTTTTGGATATTGATTTTCAATCCCTTGTTTCCGATTTTTTTCCAATGCCTGGTCAAAAATTTCCAATGTTGAGGTACTTTTGAAAGCACTATGAACCGTCCCTTCAATGACTTTTCTTTTGTACTGCAAAGGTGCGCAACCTCTGAAGTTTAGAGTGGTGCCGGTAACAGTGGGTTTTTGGTACCACCCACATGTGACTTTTTTTGCTGAGTCCACGTTGACATTTAAATCCAAAAAGGCCAAGATACCGTTACTATCAAGTTCTTCTATGGTGAACTGCAAGTTTGGATGCAACTTTTTGGCAGCCTCGAGAACTAAGCTAGGATCGCCCTTGACAGTTCTAACTATGTCGTCCACATATCTTAGAAAAACATTAACACAGCTCTCAGCCCGATCTGCTTCCTGTTGTTTTTTGCATGCAATGCAATACCATACTGTTTCAGCGATGTCTGCGTATTCAGATTCTGATATGTTACCACACCCTAAGTGGTACCATTTCAAACAAGCTTGGAAATCTATCCCTTTAGTCCGATATGTCACCTTTTTCTGACATCCAGGGCAGACCTCCTTGTTACCCTCATTTAGCACAGTCAATTTTGGTACTTCTTTCTTTAATGCAGGTTCATATTTTTTGAGCCACAAATTGGCCAGTATTACTGCAAGGGAGGCGCCCATTGCTAAACCGTCTTTTTGTACATAGTGTACTTTACTCACTGCCAAATTCAATAGTTTTTTCATAACCTTGCGAGATTTTTCCGGGGGATTGACTTGCTCATATAATCTCCCAAGGGCTATTTCAACCGCTTCCTTGAGTGGGACATTAGTGTACAAACTCTTTACATCAAGGAAGATTATACTCTAATCAGAGTCGAGTTCAGTTTTCTCCAAGATCTCACTGGCCATTTGAGTGTTCGTTTCAATGTTTTTCCCCTCAGTTTCATCAAAATACTTAGCCAATGTTTTATTTAGGTTGTCATATGAGCTACCAGGTAAAGAAAGGACGGGACGAAGTGGTGTACCTTGTTTATGTATTTTTGCTAATCCATACAGCCTAGTTGGCTGCGCGCCTGTTGATCTCAACTTAGTATACAGCGCTTCGGTAATCTCGTCCTTCTTTTTCATGGCGAGTAATTCCTTGTTTATGTCTTTCTCAATTTTCATTATCACACTGTCTGTCAGATTCTTCCTCTCACTAAATTGTTCTACCTGTAATAAATCTTTCAGTTTCTCTTCATATGTCTCGTTTTTCATTACACAAAAGCCACGCACTTTTCAAACGGTACTGCCAGAAGACTGTTGTCCTTCAAATTTTTTCTGGGTTTTTCCACAGCTTCGTCAGAGGAGGTCTTTTTCACATTCTTAGCATATCTCTTTGCAGCTGCTTGAATCTCACATAAATTTTCTCCGGGTAGTCTATTTAACTTCAATTCAGACAAAAAATTGTCAATGTCCGCAAGGAAGTGAATTTCATTAAATTTGTCTCGTACCGGATGTTTTGGTCCAAAACTTAAGACTACCCGCGCCCCAAGCGGCAAAACCACTTCATCTAAAATTCTAACTGACCTTTCATCCAAGCTTTTTAATGTTCTATCCTGTCTTTCCGAAAGTTTTTCAAGCTTTTTTTGTGTCGGCTTATCAGGTTTTTGACACTACACCTTGCTTGCAGGTTCAGATAAAATATTATTGAAGGCCACCATTTCTCATCTATACCCCTTCTCACTACCTCCCTTGATTTGGCCCTCTCCGCATTTGCCTGGCTTATCTCTGTTCTCAAGAGTCTCAATTGGAAGCTGTGAACCGCATGATCCGATAAAACACCGTTATCAGGCACGCGAAACCGTAAAAAAACTGGCTTAATGTCGTTATCGAGACATTTTTTCAGAAATTTAATTCTCAGGAAGCTGCTATTAAATTTATTAAAATGTTTTAAATTATCTAACTAAAGTTTCCAAGTGAGTTTTTTTCAGGACCAATCTAAGGAATGGTGGTGGCAGCAAAATATCATTTAAACTCATGTGAGCACTTTAACTCATGTGGCTTTCAGCAAAGAAAAAACAGCCTCAACGATATCTTACCTTTTATTGGTCGTTCGGCTCCGGCTTAAGGTCCCCAGCCAACACCTCCGCTCTCCGGGCCTTTGCCCTGCGATGTCCCTGCGATGGTTTCTTAGTCTGGGCCGTATCTTTGAGAAAATGCATGGCAGGTGATCTCGATGGGACAGCACAACCCGAAGTGACTTCAGTTCCATATCAATTGACTGCTGCAGTTGGAGATACTCTCTGCGGACCGCAGGATTCTGTCTCTTGATTCTAGAGATAAAGTTACCGGTTTTCTTTGTGACGATTATCTCTGTCTTCCTCAGATCCCCAAAAATATCGGGAGTGCCCGTTCTCCTGTAGTAGACAATTGCACTTGTTTGTCTTCGCTTCGATTGTAGATACGCCAGTAATTCATCAAGTGAAAAGGGCGTATAGTTGTCAGTGCGATGGGTGGATATGCTGTTGTTGAGCACATCGCGCCAGAGGATAATCTGCTTTTTGGCCAGAGGTTCCTGTTTCAATGATATTCGTAAATTCTTCCCCCTGTTCAGGGTATTGGGGTTTAAAGAAAGGCCGGGGACTGCGTAGACCTTATGTTGTGTCTCTCTAAAATTATAGTCTCTGTATAACATGGCTAAAAGTTAAAAAACTGATATGTCAGAATCAAAAATATTTCCAAATCGAAATTTTATAACCATGAAAGAAAAAAAAAAGCGAAAAAGAAATATCAGAAATTTTCAAGAAATTGTTATTATTGATTAAGTAATTTATTATGTAATTACGGTTGTTTAAATTTGATTGGTCAAAAAGTTTTAAAACGTTTTTAGACATATTTCTCATTTTTCAGATCTTTGATCGTTTTGTAAAATTTGTGAAAAAATTTTTTTTAATCCTGATGATGCGCAAAATGTGCGAAAACGTTTGAATTAACAGAATGCGTTAAAATTGTAAATTCAAACAAACGTTTTCGCACATTTTGTGCATCTTCAGGTTTTAAAAATTCTAAACTATCTGTACAAAATGTTTGATTTAACATTTTAAATTTCTTATAACCATCTTTGTTAAATTCTAACCCTTTAAAATGTTTGAATTAACATTTTAAATTTCTTATAACCATCTTTGTTAAGTTCTAACCCTGTTGAGCGATATAACATGCGAATTGCATGCGGGACCGGTTTATCATAGTTGCTTTTTCGTGGGACCACTCTATCATAGTAGTACCGATGTTCGAAATCTTGATTTGAAATTATCTAGGTTGCTTTTTTATACAAAGTTTGTAACATTGGAAGTTATTATTTGGTGCCAGTTTATCCATAGAAGGGTGCAAGTCATTTTAAAGATCTTTCCAAACGTGAAAGATGCGGAAGGATAAAGGAAAGCGAGATGTTAGTAGAAAAATGTTGACCATGTCTCTAATGCTGTTACCGTTGATGTTTAAATATTAACATCCTCTCGTTACATATAATTTTATTAATTTATATTGGTACAAATATATAACGCTGCCCCAAACAAAAAATTCTAAAAACGTTAAAAAATTAAAAAGCTTTGGGATTAAAAATTTTTGTTTTCCATTTTTTTGGAGACAATATGTCAATTATGCCTGATTCACTAACTGTTTACGCGTTTGTTTAGTTCTCACACCAGGATGATTTTACAAAATCAAACGAAATATCTCGAAAAAAACATCATTAAAGTCAAAATTAAACTTATACTGCGGATACATCGTACCAATCATAAGCTATGCATCGCAAACATGGTATCCGAACAAAGCAGAATTAAGACAACTAGAAAGAGTACGAAAACGAGCGACTTCTTGGATTACAAATAACTTCAAAATGAGTTATACTGAAAGACTGAAATTTTTAAAGCTCCTTCCACTCTCAATGTACTTTGAACTACACGACATATTGTACTTAGTTTCACTACTAAAAAATAAACATGACATTGATTTGAATACAATTATTCATGAAAACGAATCACGAACGAGACAAGCAACACGTGGTGAGATTGCTGTTCATGCAACAAGACTGAAAAAGTCAAATGAAAATTATTATATACGTTCTAATACGCTATACAACTACTTTAGCCAAATTGTGGACTTCGAAAATCAAGATTATGACAGCCTGAAAATATCTATAACAAACACGTATTGGAAATTCTTCAACAGAAATTTTGCAGAAAACAACTTGTGTATGTGGAGAATTCTTTGCTGGTGTGGAAACTGCAACCCACTGGGAAAAATTATGAACTTATAAACGAGGGTTCAAAACCCATGGAGAAATCCTAAAGCCTACCCTACTACTACTACTACACTAATTTCAAGTGAAAAGACTTTTTGTAATTGTTTTTATGAATGTGGTCGGAACATTCTGTGCTGCTTGCACAGCTATCCTTGTTTAAATTATAGTCTTACAATTGCATATCCAAGGCTATGAAATTGATCTACTAAGATCTGTATTTGTTGCTTTAGTTAGATTTGTATGGCGGGTGTTGGGGCCGTGAATGGCAGCTCCATGACTGTTCCAGAGGCGCGGCTGCAATTTCGAAGATGTGAAATGAAGAGCGACAATTTTGATGATTATTTTGCAGAATTGCAAAAGCTATCGAATTATTGTAAATTTTCCGATGCTAGTAAAGAGGAAAGGCTGGTTGAACAAATTATTCATGGCATATCAGATGACACTTTGAGAAGCAAACTGGTTTCGGAAGATGAAATACCTCTCACTGCAGTTCTCAAAGAATGTCGATTATTTTATTCACAGGTAAGCAAAAGTTTTCAGTAGGATGTAGATTTTTTGTTGATTTTGCAACAACGTGGAACTCTACAGTTTGCTAAATAAAGATACTGCGCTCAATATAAATTGCCATCTGGTAACTTGATTTTCAAAATATTCGATGCTCTGTCATTTCAAAAGTTTTTCATGCTCACTCATTCAATGGTCCAAGTCTACTTATTTTTTTTAGCTGCATATCATTTTTTAAATTAAATGACGAGTCCTAAGACGGGCAGCGCAAATTATTCCGAATAAAAAATAACCAAAAATTGAAGAAAGCGACAAAATAAGGTCCCGTTCTTTTTACCCTTGCGATTGTGATCGAAGCGTGAACGACTTCTAGTTTCGAAAGTGAATTTAGTTTTTAGATTCCTCAGCGAAATCTAAACTATACCTTTTGATCCAAATTTAACATTTACGAAGTTCGGAAAAAAACGGTTCAATTAAAATGGGCCCTTCTGTCATGCGACTGTCCGTGCACAGGTTAGATAGGGCCATGCCAACGCTATATAAATACATCGGCAAAATTTCATGAATAAATCAAGTCGATTTTAAAGCATCCAGAGAATTGTCAATTAAAATCTACCCTCCTCGATTATAGCACTGATGCAATTGTCTTTGTTGCATGTATTTTAAAGTTTTTTGCAACCCCTGAGGCAGAGGATTGCATCCTCAGAAGTGCAAAACTTATTTTGGTTCTTAAAAAGTTTATTGTGTCGGAGTATGATTCGTTCCGTTTTTCGCTTAATTTCTCTGCTAGTTTCTGGACAGCTTTTGTAGAGCCTGATTCTGCTCCTCCAGTATACGCAACAAATAGTGGAGCAAAGCTGCTGTGTTCTGCATCCAGAAATCGTTGTTGGTATATCAATGTTTTGACACACTCATGATATTTGTAGGCGTCAGATATAGTTTAAGGGCAGGATTTAGCATTGGGGTTGCAAATTTTTGCATCGGAAAAGGTTCAGCTGAATCGGCCTCTCCAGAGTCCATTTGCCTTGATGTCAAGTCGAGCGTCATTTTCAGTAGTGAAGTGGTTGTTTTCTTGTGAAAGCTTGCGCCTTCCAACAATTGAAGTTTCGGCTCTATCTCAACATCATTGCATACTTCGTCATAATGTAAAGATGCTAAATTGTGTCGAACCTTTGCTGCATCGAATTGACAATTTATGAGCACATGTAGCTGCGTTATTGGTAGCTAGTTTTTGGGGATTTCAAGCATCCGTGGCTGAGTGGTTAGTGCGTGAGACTCAAATTTGCTAAGTCACAGATTCGAATCCGACACATAGCCGAGTTTTTGCTAATTCTAGGCTTATTTCTATTTCTTGTTTTACTTAATAGAGCTGCTTTTTGTCGTGTTCTCGCAAGTGTTTGCGAAGAACAGCTTCACCTATGTGTCTCAATTTGAGTTAATTTTTATCAAAAAATTTCAATGATAAATTTTCCCTGAAACTCAAAGAGCATTTAAGGCCATATATTTTTTGCTTCGAAATTATTTTCCTAAATTCATCATTTTTTTCTTGCGTTCTTTTACTTTTTTCCAACTGTCTTAATAACTGTTTTTGAGTTTTCTACGCTTGCTATTAGCAAGCGTTATCGAATCGGAATATAGACTTTTTCCGAACAACATCTTGTTTAACAGAATCAATCAAGTCATTTGATAGTTTATTCGATAATTAGCTTGATCGATTCTGTTAAACAAGTTATTGTTCGGAAAAAGTCTATACTCCGATTCAATAACGTTTGCTAATAGCAAGCGTAGAAAACTCAAAAACAATTATTAACCCACCCTTACAGCAGTTAAAACGCCCCAGGTTCGAATCTGGCCAGGACCTGTGTTTCTTGCGAACGAAAAAAAACTGTTGAAGAAAAATAGTCGGCTTATTGTTGTTCTATTTGTTTTGTCGGCCTAATTGCCACTTCTAGGATTTTTCTTGTGCTGTAATTGATAGAGTCTGTGATTCTTTCCTGTAAGCCGTAAAAATACTAAATCTGATTTACTGATTTTTTTGTACTTTCCTTTATTGTTTTTTTGGCCTCAAATATCGAGTTTGTCTTTATCGGCTTAGTCTTCTAAATTTGCGTTGTTCAAAAGAAAATAAAATTTTTATCTTTTCGTTTCTTGTGGTCGGGTTTCAAATTTTTCATCGCAGCAATTTTCATTTTTGTTCAACTAGCGGCTATCAAAATATTGACGACATATTTCCGCTCGTTTTTTTTTCTGAATGCTTGTTGTGATATGATTTCGTTTATGTAAACATCGTTGGAGACAAACTTATTTAACTTTTGTGTTTGTGGTTTTTCATCAACAAATACCATGTTTCACGGTCCCATTACAAAAGCTCACATAGCAAAAAAGTTTTTTATGACAATTTTGTTTGCGATCCTACGGGAGAATACATAACTATTGCCGGCCTTGTTAATGCTCGATAAATGTTTCTGAATGCTTTTTTAATTTATTGCAGTTGACTGGGTTTCTGGACGTGTTTTTTTCATTAAATATCATTGCAGACAAAATGTACCTTCGAATTTTTTCTATTGTGTTCTCGACTTAGTTGCTTTTCTTTGATTTTATTCTCTGCTAGCTTGCAATGCTATGTTTGTGGGATATCGCAAGTGATGCGAAGCTGCGCCTCGCCTCTGTGTTATGCTGTTTTATGAAAACAATTTTTTGGCTCAACGCGTGTCTGCTCAGATATTGTCGACTTTGGTGACGCTTTGTAAGTTTTATTTCGATGCTCAATCGGCATTCAGTTTTTTTCCTCAGAAAGTTTGACAAAATCAAGATAAAGATATGAAATTTCGGTTGATCAATTTTTGAAATCTTAAAGAAAGTTGCTGCAATTCGATACAAAGTCACACTATAAGGTTTTCCTACATTAACCCCTAAAGCACAACATGTCTTCGATGCAGCTGAGAATGCGTTCATTATTTACTCGGGCTGAATAATTGAGTTCTCATAGTTGACGTGTTCAAGTAGCACTATCATATTCTTTGATTGGTTCGTGGAAGTCGTCCGCGTATAGTTTACTCTTAAGGGGTTTCCGAATGGTCGTCTCCAGGTCAATTAAATGGATCCACAAATCGACAAAAATAGCCAGTTGTAGTTAAAGTTGTGATTATGATTAAGTTGAAAGTATAATTGACGTTAAAAGAAAAACTCTCCTTGATTTGTTTTTGATTTTGTTTTGTTTTAGCATTCAAAAACGAATGGCAGTCAAGCTCATGCAGATGATAAGGAAACTGAATTGGGCTCTGAAATTGAAACAGACCGAGATACTTTGAAACAAAACTGTAACGGAAACTCTCCTCTTGATAATCTATCATCAGTTGTAAATGAATCAATTCCAAGTGTTAATGAAGTGAGAAAAAAGAGCAATGGTAATACGTCTAGAACAACTAGGTTAAAAGCTATTTCCACCACGTCAAGTGAGAGCAATACGATAAAAGTAATCCACACTGACACAGATAAAGACGAAATAGTTGAAACTCACGAACCCCTCACAGTATTGGAAAGTAGCGACGTCGTTTGCATATCGTCTAAAACAAATAGCTCGAAAACAGCCAAAGGAATTAAATCGATGAGGCCGAGGTTAAAGCGTCTTGACAGCGAAGTTCTCGAGAAGTTCCAAACAGTTGAACCTAAAAAAGAAACATTGCGAAAAACAAGTAAATCAGAGCCAGACACAGAAAACACGACATCCGAAGTATCTAAGAATACTGTGTCGCTAAATGACAGTTTAGTCGGCACTACAAGCGACGATGAAGTGCACATGAACTTATTGCAGGTGAAGAAAAAGCACCAGAAAGGGGAGTCGAAAGACTCAAAGTTAGTAAAAACAGTGAGTTTGGATTCGGATGAGTCAATGCAAGAAGATACCAACTCAAAGCCTGAGAGCAAAGATCAGAGTGAAGAGGAAAACGAGGGTGAAAGTGAAGACAACTCTTCTGAATCGACAGACGAGGAAGTGGAGGAAATAATGTCACCCGAAAGTGATTCGGATTCAGACTTCGATTTGAAATCCGAACCGAATGTACGAAGATCTAGACGCATCAAAGAGGACAAAAAGGCGAAGGAAAAGAAGAAAAACAAGAAAAACAAAAAAGGAAGTAAGAGCAAAGAGAGAAAATCTAAGAGAAAACGAGTTGTCGATAATTTAAACGTATCCGATGAGATTTCAGACGAAGACGACAATAATGATGACGATAGTGTTAATCCAGCAAAACAGAAGGCGAGTAAAAAGAAAAAAAGAAGAGTGGTTTTTGATGACGACGAATCAAATACAGAAGAAACAACAGTGGAATTATCATCAACAACAAACACCGAAACTGCCAAAGAAGATGTAAAAGATAGCAAACAGGTGGAGAAAAATAAGAAAAAAGGTGAAGATGACGAAGACGACGAAGACGGAAGTCCCGGAAAGTCGAAGCGCAAAAATATTAGACAGATTCTTTCCACGAAAGACTTGGAAAAGGATACGAGAAAAGCGAATCTTGAGGAACGAGAGCGGAGAAAGAGAATAGGCGAGAAATCTAAGGACGGAATGACGGATTTCTACACACGAGAAAAGGACGGCCGAGTTGTGTATACGCGAATCTGTTTTGAAAAGAAAGGCGAAGATGATCTAGTGTGTATGCACGAGGACTTGGCCAATAATTTGAAACCCCATCAAGTTGAAGGTGTTCAGTTTCTATGGGACTGTACTGTCGAATCATCGAGTAGAGCGAAAGAAACTAAAGGAAGTGGAGCTATTCTAGCGCATTGCATGGGTTTGGGTAAAACACTCCAAGTGATTTCATTCATACATACTATGCTCACCAATGAGGTTTTGCCATTCACAACTGCTCTGATAATTGTTCCGGCGAATACAATCCTAAATTGGGTCAACGAGTTTGAAATTTGGACGCCTGACGAGGAAGAGTTGGACGTTTATGAAATCAGTCAGCACAAAGACGACAAAACACGTGCCAGTGTGCTGAAGAACTGGCACGACAAAGGCGGAATTATGATAATAGGTTACAACATGTTCAGAATTTTTGTTAACCCCACTCGAAAGAAAGCGAAACGCTTTTTGCCAAAAGTAAAAGAAGCTTTGCTAGACCCGGGACCTGATTTTGTAGTTTGCGACGAGGGTCATTTGCTGAAAAACGACCAGACGGCTCTATCAAAAGCAGTGTCTCAAATATCAACTCGCAGACGAATAGTTCTAACAGGAACACCCTTGCAAAATAACCTAGTTGAATACCATTGCATGGTAAACTTTGTCAAGGAGAATTTACTAGGTACCAAAAATGAATTCAGAAATAGGTTCATAAACCCCATCAGTAATGGACAACAAAAAGACGCTAGTAATTTAGATGTGAAAGTTATGAAGAGGCGATCACACGTTCTGCACGAATTGCTAGCAGGTGCTGTACAAAGGAGAGATTACTGCTATATAACAAAGTATCTTCCTCCCAAATACGAGTATGTTTTGTCTGTGAGATTGTCAGAGCGTCAAATTAGATTGTACAACAAATATTTGAAGTTGTTTTGTTTTGAGCATTTCGATAGCTCGGAAGACGGAAGCAGCACTGTTGACTCACTCGTCATTCCGACAGAGCATCAAGTTGTGAGACGCGATGGAAGTCGCAGTCTGTTCAAAGATTTCCAAAACCTGGCCAGAATCTGGACGCATCCGTACTGCTTGAAACTGGTTCCACCAAAGGACACTCCGGATAACTCAGAGGAAGAAGAAGACTTCGTTTGCGAAGACAGCGAAGAGGACGATAAAAAGCCATCGAGGAAGGGAGATAAAAGTACAGCTGATGAAATGAAGCCGAGCACGAGTCGTGGAAAGACGAGAGGGAAAAGGAGTGACAGCGAAGAAGAATGTTCAGAGAAAGGCGACAATGACGATGAAGACGACGACGACGAAGACGAAAATGACAAAGAGTCAAGTGAGTTGGTTTTAGTTGACTTTTTCAGCTTGAAATGAATATTGAACTTTTTAACTTGAAATTTATATAAAATTTTTTTGAGCATGAAATTTATATCGAAATTTTTGAGCTTGAAATTTTTTTTCTATATGGAGCGAACATTGTTTTTAATTTGAACAATCTCGCGTCGAAAACAGTTGCGCAACAATTCTTGCTAAGTGAATGTTTTTCGGCTTGAAAGCTCTGTTGCTGACCCTACTGCACGTGCTAAGGTTGTTAATCTCAAGCAAATGCTAAATTATTTCTGTAACATCGTTTCAACAGTTCAGAAAAACTTGGCTTTCCAAAACTGTCACGGTATTGAAACCGTTTTTAGTAACTTGGAAAATAGCAACCCAATAGAAAGGAAATTCAATAAAAACAAAGGTAGCTGGTTACGGTGCAAGTAGCACTGAATGTTCCGACATAGTCTTTACGCTTGCGATTAGCAAGCGTTATCAAATCGGAATGTAGATTTTTTTTTCGGGTTAACAACTTGTTTAACAGAAGCACTTGAGTCAGTTGGTATCTTGGTTCACAATGAATTGAATTTTCTAAGCCTATCCGCCACACTTAGTCTGGAGGTAACGAATACGCCTGGAACGCCAAAGGTCTTGGGTTTGAATCTGAAAGTACCTGTTTTTTTTTTTTCAAACGGGAAATAGTCCGTTTCAAAAAAAATTGTCGGCTTAATATTGTCTGCTTATGTTTTGTCGGTTTAGTTGTCATATAGTAGAATTGTTTTTGTTTAGTTTTGCTTATATTATAGTTGCTTTTAGTGTTCTGATTTAGCTCTGCTATTTGTTTTCTTTATTTATTTCCTTTTTCTTTCGTTTATTCTGCCCAAATGATTTCGACCTATTTTTTATTGGCTAAGTGACCTAATTTCGAATTGTTTCAGCGTTATTTTATTTATTTTATTTTTTATGCTCGCTTCTGTATCGCACAAAATGCTAAAAATCCTAATAGAATTATTGTTCAAGTTTTTTATGACAACATTTTTTGCGCTTTTTCTTTTTTTTTCGGCTTGATAAGTTTCGGCTTATGTTATATTGGCTTATTGGTCTCATATTGTGTCTTTCGACGAGCGAAAAAAGTTTTGTCTGTGTATTGATATTGAGGGGGACTTGATAGCTTTTTTTTCCTTTTTTCGGGCTTGAAAGATTTCGACCCATTTACCCAAGCATTGCTTGTGTTATAGTATGAACTATCTTTTTTTTCCAACCTAAGTCGCAAATATTGTTGCGACGCAAATATTGTTGCGATAAATTGTGTTCATTTTGAAAGTGTTCATTTTGATCAATAACCAGGTATTAAGTACAGCCAATGCTAAGGATTTTAACACAGATTTTATTGTTCCGACCTTCGTAACGAAAGTACCAGAATATTTGTGCTCTGGATGGTTTTTTTTTCAGACAAATTTTGTGTTTTTAACTAGCCATTTTTGACGGGATTTTTTTTATATCACTCAAAAATTATTGTTGTCCTGAGCTTGAATTTGGAAAGTTATTTCACCTGTCATCATTTTTCGTAAAGTTATGAAGGTTTAAAGATTGCCATTTTGGCCAATTTGGGACAATTAACGCGCGATATATTGCGCGCTATTAACGTGTATGCGGATATTTAATCCGTCTTAGAAATCGTTCCACATTGGTTGAAAGAAGCTTATTTGCCATAATTGATTTGTTACAAGAAGCAAAATTTATCCTTTTGTACTTCATATGGCGAGTGGGGGATGCTTTCATAAAAAAAGTTTCAAATTTTCTAAAAAAAAACATTTCATTTTATTTTAATACATTTGAATTTTTTGTGTTGTTACTGCTCCATAAACCTTAAAAGCAGTCGGAATATTCAGGGTTTTGTTCTGACTTTCGCAGTGAAAGTAACGGAATATTTGTGCTCGGGTGGGTTTTTTTTTCTTCAGACAAATTTCGACTTTTTAACTAGCCATTTTCGACGGATTTTTTTTTTTCATATTACTCAAAAAGCATTGCTGTCCCGAGCTTAAATTTGGAAAGATGTTTCACTTCACCTGTGATTATTTTTCGTCAAGTTATGGGAGTTGAAAATTTTTTTTCGCGTTTTTAACGCGTAAGCGGAGATTAAATCCGTATTAGAAATCGTTCCAAATTGGTTGAAGGAAGCTTATTTGCCATAATTAATTTGTTACTAGGAGCGAATTTATCACTCTGAATTTAATATGGCGTGTGGGGGGATGATTTCCACAAAAATCTCAAATAAAAAAAATTCATTTTATTTTTATTACATTTAATTTTTTCAAGCTATTACTTCTTCATAGACTTCTCTATAAATTGATGCATTTTACCCTAGTTGGTAAATTGTTTTTTTTTCTTCAAATTGACTGGTACTGCTAATGCGTCATAATTGGCGTGCGTCACTTAAGAAATTTTGTAGACTCGAAGTTTTACTCATTCAATTTTTCCGAGTAGTGTATCGGCCAAATTTTTGATTGTGTATGCAACTTTGCCTCTGTGTTTATATTGGCTTGGTGGCCTCATTTTGTTTTATTTGACGAGCCAATAAAGTTTTTTGAGTGTTAGTGTGTATTGAGGGTAATACAGCTAAATAATTTTGGAGGATTTGTTTCTGAGAAAATATTCAACTTTATCAACGCTGGATTTTTTAGTCATAATTTTTGCAATAAAAGTTTTTTTTCCAATTTGTTGTCTTTTAATTTACCTGAAAGTCATGAAAACTTGTTTAGTGGAGCTTTATGATAACCCACTTGTCCCATGGTTGTGAATTTTTTGAGTCAACTATTTTTTAACCTTATTTCATATATATTTCTTCATTTCGTGTTCCTCGTATAAGGAAGTAATGAATGGAAACTTATAGTATAATTAAACCAGAAAAAGAATTCAAAGAAATTTAGAAAGGTCTCTGTATTTTCTGGAAATAGAATTATTTTTGCATGTTTTAGCAGTTTTTTATGATGTTAGATTGTTAACTTTGGCATTTCTTTTCATCTAGCAAGTAATGGGAAGCTGCATTTCCCCTGTCATTAACAAATATGATGTCGGTTAAAAAAAATTTTAAAGTGGGCAATATGTTTTAAGAATTTTTTAAAACTTCACTTCGATCGCTTCACTAAAATTTGATGATTTTTGTTCCTTTTTGGAGTACGTAGTGTACTGCGAAAGATGTTGCACGAGTACTGTCAAGCGGTCAGTCCACTTGTTTTCATTGTAAGTCGCACGTTTTTCATAAGTTTGTTTTGCTTTTTTTGTCGCTTGCGCAGAAACCAAATGCTCTTGCTTTTGCTAGAATTAATTTTTTTAATTTAGAATTTTTTTTTGTAGAAGAGGTGATCAAAAAGTACAAGACGCAAACTGGACGTGGGTCTGGCAAACGAGTGCGTGAACTGTCCCCACCTCCGGAAGATAACTTCTGGTTCTCGGATATCCTAAAGGAGGAGGACCAATTCAACGTTGCTCTCAGTGGTAAACTGGTGCTGCTCTGTGAGATCCTTAAAAGAGCGAGCGAGGTCAGCGATAAAGTGCTGCTGTTCAGCCAGTCTCTGATGTCTCTCACATTGATTGAAGACACTTTGGCTATGATCACGGAGGCCAAAAAGAACAACTGGCAGGTATGTAGGAAGTGTTGAGGTGTACGTAGGAAGAGAGATCTCTCTTAACAGATCAGTTCAAGAATAATCAGAAGAATAGCATCTTTGTCCCGACACCAAGAATTTTTTCCCAGTTTCCTGAATTTCGGGAGATGAAAAACGTTATAATTTGGCTATCATTATTGGCAGAAGTTCAGAATGGCAGAAAATTAGCAACCAATCAAAATTCTCACATTCATCGAAAACGCTGACACACTTGTTGGTTCTCTCTCAGCCTTTTTCCAATGAGGGAATCTCCCGATGTAACATGAACATTTTCTGTCGCTTAAGACTATTTAAATATCATTATAACTCATTTATTTTTCTCATGGCGGCTTATGTGAAGCGTGGATTGTATAATTTTAGATCGGAGAGACTGACTCGGAGGGTTTCATGCGAACGGTGGATGGCACTGAGGCGGGCGAGGGGGTTTGGGTTCCCAACAAAGACTACCTCAGGTCAGCTGACTTGTATACTTACATATAGAAACTTGATTTTTTTGTTTTGTTTTTTCAGGAAAAAGTATTAAATGCTCTAATAACTACAGATGTGCATTCACATATTAATGCTTTTATGAATGCACTTAGGTATATATGCATTTGTTGAGTTTAATTGAAATTCATCTGCTGAAAGTGACGTCAATAGCACTCTCCAAATACGAATGTGGTAATAGCGCGAAAAAACGGAATTAAATTTTTAATGGAATTTAATTTTTATATTTCAATTGAATTTTAAATTTTGCCTATCGATCCAGTTTTCTCAAATTGGGGTTGTGTCATCAAAAAGCGCCAATCATAAAGTGTTCTAAAAATTCTAAGAGCTTAAAGGGCATCTATTTTTTTCTTTGAATTTCGAAAGCTGAGATTTTTCAACAAAATCGGTGTTTTTTTTCTGCTTACTTGCGTTCATTACTCTTTTGAGAGTCGTTTTAAGAGTCGATAAACTTCGGTCGGGATGATTTTTTAATTTTTTTTCGGCGAAAGTCCTAAAATTTGCTCAAGCTAAAATTTACTTTTTCACGGTTTTACTTTTGATTTTTAATAATAATGAACGTAGTTAGTACTCTTATATAGCTCTTGCTGATTTTTTTTTTGATTTTTTCGGGAAAAAGTCTTTTAATTTGTTCACGCTCAATTTTGGTTTTTCGCGGTTTGACGTGTGATTTTTTTTCAAGTTCAGTGCATTTCCATTGTTAATAGGAAGGGAAGCTCCACTTTCGAACGACAACATTGTAAAGGTCACGAAAAATGTGACAGACTTCTTATTTCGAAAATAGAAATTGATTATAAGATTTCCCAACGAAATAAAATTTTTCCCTTTTGATCAAGTTTTCTCAAATTTAATTTTAACAAAAACTTGTTTCTTATAAATTGTTCTACAAATTCAAAGAGCTTTAAGGTTATCTATTTTTTTCTTCGAAATTTAAAAGTTGAAGGTTTCTGAAAAAACAACTGTTTTTTTATTCTGTTTTCTTGCGTTCGTTAATATTTTCCAACTGTCAGTTGGCTATGGTTTCCAAGTCCAGTTCATATTCCTTTGCTATAAGGAGGGCAAACTCCACTATCGAACAGCAAAAGTGTAAAAGTCACTAAAAACGTGATCGACTTCTAGTTTCGATAATGGATTTTAATTATATTTCTCAGCCAAATGAAAATTTTACCTATCGATCCAGTTTTCTCAAGTTGGGTCAATTTTATCAACACATTTTAATCATAAATTGTTCTAAAAATCCTTATTTTATCAAAACAAATTTTAATCATAAATTCTTCTAAAAATTCATAGTTTTAATGCCATCTATTTTTTGTCAAAACTCGGAAGAAATTCGAAATTATTTTTTTCCTGTTTGCGTTCATTGACTCTTTTCAAACTGTCTGTTGGCTATGTTTCTCCGGTACGGATTAGAGTTTTTCAGGAGCTTCGCTATGCTATCATTTAAAGGAACCTAAAAGTATTGAGCATAATGTTAAACAAAAGCGTCAACCAGATAGAAAATATGTGAATTGCGGAATATGTTGTTAATGGTCCTTGATGTTGCTATTCAACCGTTTAAAAATTTTTCTGCTTGCTATTAACAAATGTTTCCAAGCCTTAAAAACAAATAAGCGGATGCGAAACGTTATTGATTTTTATTTTGGTTAAACACCAGTAGTGGCAAGCGAACGTCTATTTCGCTCTGGTTTCAGAAGCTAACTGTGATTTTTACCATGGCAGCAAGCAGCAACTTACTAAAAAACAGATGAAACTACAGAAAAATAACTAGTAACATACAATGTTGAACATAGCTTCAGCTACAGTTATGCTGTTGTTTAGATTGGACGGTGGATCATCAGTACCTTTGCGCAAGAAAATGTGTGACCAGTTCAATGCCAAAAGCAACAAGCGTTGTAGACTTTTTCTCATTTCAACCAAGGCAGGCTCCTTGGGAATTAATCTATTTTCAGCTAACCGCTGCATCATTTTCGACGCTTCCTGGAACCCCAGCCACGATATCCAGTCAATGTTCAGGTGCTACAGATTTGGACAACTGAAACCTGTCTACGTGTACAGGTTCATAGCCCAAGGAACCATGGAGGAGAAGATCTATAATAGACAGGTGACAAAAGAGTCTCTAAGTATGAGGGTTGTGGATGAGAGCCAAATTGACAGACATTTCAGCAAGGATGAATTGGAAGATCTGTACCAATTTGAACCTAATTTGTACAAAGAAAGCGACACATCCGTGCCGTCTTGTGCTGTGCCGAAAGATGACCTCTTAGCCGATTTACTACTGAAGCGAAAAGATCTTCTTTATAAATACCACATACATGATTCTTTACTGGAGCATCAAGCCGACCAGAACCTGAGCGAGGAGGACAAAAAAGCGGCCTGGGAAGAGTATGAAAAGGAAAGGGCTGGCGGACCCAATCCAGCTCAAGTAAGGCAGCAACAAATGCGTGAACAAATGATGACCGCCAACATGCAGGCCCTGCAGCAGCAATATGCTCGCCAGCAACATCACTCATTGCAGGTTCAACAGCAGGCCCAAGACGGAAGATACCTCGAAAAGGCATGCCAGGATATGATAATTTGGGGATCTTCGATTGGACTTGAGCGTGCAACGAGAGATTTTGCGGCAAGGTCCATCCAGAGCTTCATCAACGCCATTCGAGGTTTAACGCCGACGATATCATTTAAAGCTCTTGGAGATAAAGTGTATGATTTGTTTCCCAACTACTACTTGGGGCTTCTAGGAATTCGAAATCCCAAATTCGCATCCAACGAGGAACTTCAGCAACCTGTAGGTGCAAGCGCAACTTCCAATCATGTGAATCAAGGGTTCGGCGTCAACGATGTGCAAATGAACCCGGTCAGCAATGACCAGACCAAAAAACCTGAAACCGTGACCTTATCCACTTCGAACGATTTGACTTCTGAAGGTCAAACCGGTTCAGGAACTGTGACAACGCCACGAACGACTGAAGACACGGAAACAACAGCTTCTTTTTCCGCCTCTAGTTAAACAACCGGCGATTCTTATTTTTTGCTCTATATATCTTGTACCGACTATATTTTTGGTATAGATATTAATTTTATTTATTTTGCAGTGATTTGATGATAGCTGAATGATAGTTGTGCATATTTAATTTTACTCCTCACCCAGTTCCGAGTTTCCTACTTGATGGTTTCTTCTATGTAGTTTTCGAATTACATTCTGATGAACGGTTAATTAATTTCAATTGATGTTGATTTTTGTTTCAATAGAAACTATAATTGTTTTCAAACCTTTTCATCACGAATCGAGTTAACTTGTTCTATAAGGTGTTTATGAACAAAATGAACTTTTTTTTGTAAAGCTTAGCTCGAGCTTACCTTTCTATTTTGACTATTTTACTTGTGAATTTTTTGAATTCCATACAATATTTTTTTTTACTAAATGGAAGACAATTTATGCCCTCCAAGAACAAAAATCTCCCGAGCGATAACGCGCTCCACTTAGCTTCTAACGTGGATTTTAGTTTTTCCAGAGGAACAGAAAGCTTACCATTTGATGGAGTTTTCTCAAATTATGCCAGTTCTGTCGAACATTGTCATTAATGAAAAAATTTTGTAGTGGCATGTATTTTTTCCTTGAAAGGTTTCCAAAAAATCTGTCGTTTTCTGTTTTTCTTGTTCTAACTCTCCCAAGTGTCTCTTCGCTACGCTTTAGTGTTTTTTCGAAATTCACAACAAGTGCATTTGCTAAACAGAAGTCAAAGAACGCCTGCAACGGCATTGGGCGCGCATATTGGCGTTTAACTTAATGCTAAAATCGTGTTTTTCATTTTTTTTCCGACCATTGAAAATGGTGATGAGCTTTTTATTCGGGTATTTTTTTTTCAATTTTCTGTTTTCCACGCTAAATCAGGTACCCCGATTAATCAAGTGATATATCATATTGAAGCCCTTTAAGTCGTGGTTCCAACGACATACAAAAATTTCCAAAAAAAAATCCCCAGTGTTGTCTAATTTCGAACGAGTGAGCCGGCTTTCATTAGCTTTTTATGCTATTTTTAAGCCTTGAAAGTTTAGTTTTACTCAAGTGAAGTTAGTTTTTGGAGTTTTTTGCGCCATCTTAGTAATCAAAAATTCAAAAAAAATTTCTGAAAAAAAAATTCGAAAAATTTTAAAACTTCAGTTTTTTCAAGATTTGTTTTTCGTTTTTTTTTTCATGGTTGTTTTTCTACAAAACTGTTTTCTTATCTGCCCCTTTTGCTATAACTGTCGAATATGCCTAAGTTATAGTTTATCGTTAAGATTCTTTTGTCACACCACGCAGAAAAACGACACTAATTTGAAAAAAAAACTTTTTTCGTATTTTTCGAAGACTATGGTCGGAACATCCTGTGCTACTTGTTGTATCCTTGTTCATATTTCTCTTTTGATAAAATGGTTTCTAGGAAAGAATAAGTGTAGATGAACAAAGTGGTCTTCGGTTTTATAGGTCTTGATGATTTTTTGTTCGTTTGTTTTAATATAAAAAGTCTAAAAATTTGTTCACGCTCAAGTTTGATTTTTCGCGCTGAAATTTTTTTTAAAATCTCAGTTCATTTCCTTTATTAAAATGAAGACTAACTCTTCTATCCAACAGCCAAAAACCTAAATGGCTTTAGTTTCAAAAACCGAATTTAATTTTCTTAATTAATTTCCAGTTCCCTCCAATAGAATAAATTGCACAAAGTAAAATGAAGAATTTTTGAAATTCAAATAGCTTTAACATGCTACTTTTTTTCTTCGACTTTGTTTTTAATTTTGTTTCGATTCTGATCCCTTGAGTTTTTTGAAATGTTTTTCCAGCTGTCTGATGGCTATGTTCCTAAGTGAGATAGAGTAAGATTTTTCTAGTGCTATGAGTCAGTGTTTGCAGCTTAATACACTGGCACAGTTTGTTATAATATGAGATCATTTTTTGTTCCGACCATTCTCGAAGATTTGAAAGAAAATGTGGATTAGGCTCAGTTTTTTCCAGCCAGCTTTGATTACCTCAAGACAAACTCGCAGGGGCTCATGTGTGGTGTCATATTCAAGCCTGATTGGTCATGCGGATTCCAAAAAGTTGTCTCAGTGTCACAGTTTTCGAATTTCAGACTAACTATTCTAAATTTGCTGAGAAGCTGACATCCCAAATTTTATTTAGCTAGAATTTAAACGCTTTGTACACAAGCGAAGCGAAGTGTATTATTACGAACCTACTTTTTTCCAACCCAAGTCGCAAATCAAAGTGCTCATTAATGGCACTACTTTTGGTATATTTCAATTTCATCATATTTAAGCGTAGGTAATTTAATAGCATATAGTGCTGGTTTATTTTTGGCTAGTGTTATGTCCTGTTTGAAAACAACAGGTGTTATGAAAATGTACGGGATTGGTTAATTTTTATTTTTTTTGCGACCCTTTGGAAACTTTTTGAACTTTTCGCAAAACTTTCATTTTTTCTCAAAAACTACTGAACCAATTTTCAAAACAATGGCGTCATTGCAAAAACTGGCTGCTATTCTATGTGCCTGCATATTTTGCTAGTCTCTTTTCAGTTTACACCACGTTCTACGGCTTTCGAAAATTTCAGTAGGGGGATTTTTGACTGATTTGATCATGAATTTGTTCATTTTATCACATGTAAATGTATAAATTTAAGATGAACGTTTAAACTAAAGTAATCATTGGGATCTCTCCTCAAGCGGCTATTTCCTAAATTCGGAAGAAAAAAGTTATGGCCTCAAGCAAGCACATTTTTTGACATCTTGGTTAATCGTAGAATAAGGGTTCAACCGGAAAAAAAAGTAGTATGCGAATCTTCCCTGCGCAAGCGGCTATGACCTGCGTTTGGAAAAAAAATATGGCCGTAGAAAATGTACAATTTTTGAAACTTTGCCCATTTTTTGGAACTTCTTTTTTTCTTCAAAAACTAACCTGCTGTTAATTTGAGGTTGATAATTCATTTTAACTAACATCGTGCTTAGATTTTTCGTGTGTAATCTGTTTCGCCTAATTTGTTTTCTAGAAAAGCCGATATGGACATCGGAAAAATCCATTTTTTGAAGTGTTTACCGTATTTTTAAAGAAACTTCATCAGTGTTTTCGAAAGCTACTAGCTAAAGCCGATATTAAGGATTCAATCTAAAAATCAGGGCGTGGAAATCTTCTCTGCTTACGAAACTATTGCCATGCTTTACAAGAGAAAATTTTGTGAATTTAGGAAAAGCCAATTTTTTCGATTTTTGATCGTTTTTTGGAATCTTTTTCTTTTTTTTTTGAAAACTACCCAGTCAAATCTAAGATAAAGAATTCAGTTGAAAAATCGATCAGTAGGTTTTCTCTTTAAATATGCAGCTGATCCACTACTTACGCCGAAAAATCACAAAGGTTTTGCGTTAAGTCCATTTTTGAAATTTCGAATTTACGCATTTCGGTATCAGTACAAAATATGATCAAAATATTAAAACATGTGAATCTAGCATAAGCTGGGCAACTAGTTTTTCTTCCAAGAGTCCGTGGCGCGATTGCCAGGAAGTGGAAATCCTAATCAACCGATAGGATATCCAAATCCGGAACATTGAAATAGTTACAGTTTTTTTGTCGAGTTTTTCCTGCATCGCATTGGGAATTTGATAGAAACGGCAGCTGCTTTATTGGTAGCGAGTGTTAGTTAAATTACAAGCAGTCATGAAGCAGATAAGAGAACGTGTTACTCCCAAGCTTTGCAGAAAAGTTTCTCAAGGTGTCTTTTTAACCTTTTTCCTTATTTATTTTGTTTTGCCTGTTTAGAGATCTTTTTGCATTTTCCTCGCTTGTGTTTGCGAAGCGCAGCTTCGCCTCTGTTTTGAAAGCTTTTTGTCACCGTTTTTTTTTGGTTTCATGCGTCAATCGCATTTTCGAAAATTTAGACGACAAAAATTGCAAAATTAGTTCGTTTGAATCATTCTGTGTTATTTGCACAGCAACCGGTTTATGTGTAGATTTATTTACGTCGAATGCTTTTTTGTTTTGCTTTCAAGTTTTTTTTATTTTCAAGAGTTACTTCTTTTGCTAAATGCAAGTTAATTTTTTTTGCTAAATGCAAGACAATTAATAATGTAACAATATCTAATAACGAAAGTGAAAACTCAAAGAGGTCAGAGTGATATATATATTTTTTTGAAACTGAAAAACGTCCAAAAATGTCTTTTTTTTGAATTTATTGACCCATTTCCAGCTTGTGTATGCTCATGTCATATTTGTGTAATACTTCAACTGCTATAGAGTCAATCACGTGTGACTTAAGTTTAACATGTGTTCTTACAGCTGTCAAAAACAACATTTTCTTAAGGGAGTTTTTTGCAAAGCTCGTGTTTTTTTTATACAACGCTTGTTCTGCTTAATATTATCGGGTTATCATGATTAGCTGAATTTTCGCAGTAATTTGCCTGGAGTTTCTTAGCCTCCATTTTGTCGTTTGAGAAAGTGGCCGATCAGAATAAATTGAAATCATAATTTCATCCCTTGTTCCTAAGTTTGATTTATTGCTAAGTTTGTTTTTGGGCTTTGCCTACAATTTATAATCACAAGTAAACGTGAGAGGGGCTGGAGTCCAGTCCTTCAGTCTTAATGCGTGTCACAATTTTAAAAGAATTGCAAGAATGTTTTTGATTGACGAGAAAGTTCTTCAAAATATTGACTTGGTTTTATGAAAAAAACCTAATGAAAAAGCTAGAACGAAAAAATTAAGTTCATTAAGTTCTTTTCGATTTCTGTTTCGTTTTGTTTTTCTATTGTTGAAGCTCAGCTCTATTTATAAAGCATTGTTCCTCGCTTTCCACGCAAAACCAGTGGTATATCATTTTAAAGCCTTTTCAGTAATTTTTCGAAGGATATTTTAAAAATTTCAGAAATGTAATTGCAGAACGAACAAAACATCAATTTGCACAACTTTTTTGTGGTTGGATCTTTCTGTGCTACTTGCACAGCAACAGGCTATCCGTGTTTAACTAGAGATTCAAGTGTTAGAACTATTTCTAGTCCTTAGCGATGGTAAACTTTTCGTCATTTTGTAAAACCGCCATTTTGGAATTTTGAAATTTTCTTTTATTTCTTTCCACGCAAAAGCAGGTACCACAATTAATCGCCGGAATGGTATGAGTGATAAATAATATTAAGGTTCTTTCAGTGGTAATTCGAATGGCATTAAAACTTAACATAAACTTTTTACCTGGACTTTTTTAAAACTTTTTAAAATTTTTGTTCGATTTTTTTTTAGTTTTATGGTCATAATTTTCTGTCCTACCTACACAGCAAACGGCTATCTTTTTTTAATAATTTATCTTCTACATATTGCATTTGTTTTTGCTCGAATTTTAAAAGTTTCAAAGACGTAGCTCTACAAATGAAGTTTAACACTCGCATGAAATTTTTCATCTGATCACTCTTGCGATAAGCAAGGGTACAGCAATCGATTGCTAGACTTTTGCCGTAAATAACTATCTTCACATGACTCTTGGTGGGACCTTGGTTCATAATGAGTTCAAATCTCGTAGTGTCTCCTGCATACATAGCCTGGTGGTATTGAATACGCCTGGGACGGCAAAGGTCCTGGTTTCGAATCTGACGGCAAGTGTCCTGGTTTCGAATCGTTTCTGTTTTTTAACATTAAATATTCCGGTTCACGAAAATTTCGGCCTATTATTTGTCTGCTATTGTTTTGTCGGCTTAGTTATCACATCAAAGAATCATTCAGTTTTGCAGCAAACAAGTCTCAATGCAATTGCTTCAAGTGTTAAGCATTTTCAAATTCCGCCCGAATCGAATTTTGTTTTTCACATCTATCTCTCTATTATCTATCTTTCTATACATCTGTATCTATCTATCTTAAGGTTAAATGTTAAGGTTTACCGAGGGTTTGAAAGTTTTGCTTCAATATATTATAGCCGAAATCTTTTTAGCTTATGAGGAACGAAGATTCTTGTGATTTTTTTCGAAAGTTTTCGTAATACTTAGGTTTAAAAAGTTTCACAAAATTTGAAATTTTCAACCATGTAATTGGGTGTTGTCATTTTATTCTCAGGGGTTGCTAATCTTGCCTCAAAATATGACTGCTCAAATTTTTTTAGTTTTGAGATATGACGTTTATTTTATGATTTTATACGTATTATACGAAGTACGTATTTATAAAATTTGACCAAAAATCAAGTTCTCAAATCCATGATGTGAGATGCTATCAGCTTACTATCTGGCGTTGCAGATTGTGCCTTCAAATATAAAAGCTCAAATCCTTTAAGTTTCGAAATTTGATGTTTTTTTTTCAAATAGTTTTTTTTTCAAAGATTTTAAAAAGATTTTTTTCTTTGAAAGATTTTTTTCAAAGATTTTTTTTTTCAAATGAAATTTTTAAAAGATTTTTTTAAACTTCACGAAAAGTGCTAATTCTCAACCTGATTTGGGTGCTGTCAGGGTACTCTTAGGGGCTCTAATTATTGCCTCAAAATATGACTTCTCAATTCCTTTATTTCAAAAATTTTCAATTAACTTAGATATAAAAATTTTAACATAACTGAATTTCTCAACTCTATAGTGAGAAATGCTATCAGGGTACTCTCAGGCGCTGCAAATTTTGTATATGAAAGTTACTGCTCATTTTTTTTGTTCCGAGATGTGACATTGTTATTCTTTTTTCAGAAATTTCTAACTTTCTAACCCTGTAGTCAGCTGCTGTCGAAGAACTCTCAAGGGCTGCAAATCGTGCCTCCAAAGGTGACTGCTGAAATGCTTCTGCTTTCCGAGATACGCCTTTTTTTCTATTTTTTTTTATTTTTTCAAAGTTCCCAGTCAAATCTCCAAAGCTACTGGGTTTCAGATCTTCGCAAACAAAACTCTAAAATGGCCAGAAGAATACAAAGGCACTTTCCACTTTAAAGAAAAATAGAAACAAGATCATCAAATTCATAAATGGGATTCATAAAGCAGCGTAATTAATTTTCAAAACTGCTCTTTTTTCTTGTATTGATTGTGAGTTCAATGAAAAATTTTGAGCAAAATTTTTAGGATGAGATGCCACATATGCACCCGCTAGTAGTAACCTTTCATCATCCCACCAAAAAAGCCGACATATTCATTACTTGAAAAGTTTTTATTTGAAACTTTTGGAAGCTTTCAAAAAAGATGAACACGCCATATCTAAGAAAGCAAAAGACGTTGAAGACGTTGGAAATAATTACTATTTTGAGTTGTTAAAAATGTTTTGAAAAGCATAAAAATGGCATAACTCAATACTAAAATGATTTGAACAATCAAACTTGGAGGCAATATTTGCAAACTGAGGTCAATTTTTTTTATCATTCAAATTTTGAAATCAAAAGCATTGTTGGATTCCCGTCTTTTGTTACGGTTGCCTTCATTCATTTATCTTTTTTAAATATTTTTTTTTGTATTAGCAGCTTTCGTGTTCATTAATCTGTTTAAAGCACCTGATGTGCGTTTCACCCTAGTTGGTTTACTTTTCCCAGCTCGATTTAAAATTTATTTTTGTGTGTTTTTTTAATCAGCTTAATAAGTTTCGGCTGAAATTATATCGCCTTAGTGGCCTTTCGTTGCCTCGTTAGACGACCAATTTTTTGTGTGCTTCTGTCCTGAGGGGTAAAGGGACTAATTTATTATATTAGCTTAAGAATTTTTTGATTTTTTTTCGGCATGAAGGGTTTCTGCTCAGGTATTTTCGGCTTTGTTACCGCTCGGTTCAAAATCAGGTTCAAGTTCAGATTGATTAAAATCAAATCAATCACCCGGCGCGTCTGGCGTAAAGGTAGCAACTGCTTGAGATTCGAATCCGGATTTGACTTTTTTTTGCGAACTAGAGTTTTGAATGTGTTTTTCGTCCGTCTGTTCATCGTACGTCTGTTTCTTTTTCTCGGCTTGGTTGCCCGTAGCTTGATTTTTTCAAAGTTCATTTTTCCTCCAAGTTGCTGTAACCCACATGATTGATACAAAGCCCGGGAGTTCTATTCCAGTTTTTGTTTGCAAATAGAAAATTTTGGCTAATTTAGATTATTGTCTGTCTGCTTATTTTTGCCTTGCTGGCAGAAAGTATTTTTTTTGAAATTTTGGTTTCTTTCTAGCATTCTCAAAACTCTTTGTGAAGTTTCTAATGATGCAGGCAATTTTGTTACAGATATTTTGGACTTTTTTTTTGACAAACGATTTTTGGAAGTTTTTTTTTCTTAATTTTTTTAAGTTTGATTCCAATCATAGTCATTCATATTTGTTTTGCAAGTGATGCGAATATCAGCATCGCCTATGTGTACCGAAATTGCAACAAACTTTAAAATAAAGGTAGTTAAAATTTCGGTTACTGCCTAATAGGTTTCACTATACTTATGAGGATTAATATAATACAATTTTAATAGAGAACAGAATATTTATGCGTGGATAGGACAATTTTTCAATTTTTATGCAATTGATAAGATGTCTGTGAAGCTGTGTTTTCCGGGGAAAAACTGCTTTGACAAATTTAAAAAATGAAATGTTGGAATTGCCTATGATAATTAATTTTTTGGCAAAATTTTGAAAATATATAATTTCTTGGGAAGTTTAAATGTTGTTTAAGTGGTTGTATTTTTTATGATTTTGTCATCTAAATATTTTTTATAATAGCTACCGAAGCTCTTTTTTGACCTCTTTGTTAAGATAAAGTTGCAATTATTTTCTTTCAAATCTGTGGTTGACTGCATCTTAATCATGGTCTATAATGGGAGTTCAATTTCAGTGCTATGTTTCACGAGAGCACCCAAAAAGGTCTTTGGTTCTTTGAAAATGAACAGATGATAGCAGATGTTCGCAATACAAAATACAAAGACATTCCTTCAATCTCCGCCGACGAAGAGTACCAATTAGTCCTTTTCTACGATCGTCTCGTCAGGGAATTCTGCGATACGTGCAAACCAAGGATTCCCAGAGCTACCATGGCGACCGCCTGTGCCTACCTGAAAAGACTATATCTGAGGCATAGTGTTATAGACTACCCAATTGAAATGTACTACAGAACATGTGTTTATTTAGCCTGCAAAGTTGATGAGTTTAACCTCACTTCAGATGACTTCATCTCCAATTTTATTTCTCAGGGAGTGACAGAAAGTAAAGCGCAAGACCTTGTGCAGCAAATTTTAAAAACTGAGTTGAAGTTGATTAGTCTCTTACAGTTTTCGCTAATTGTGTATTCGCCATATAGACCTCTAGATGGATTTCTGATTGCAATGAAAAATTTTTACATCAATGTGATCATTCCAAAACCGACGGATGAGAAGGCGATTGTTACTGAAATTGATTCGATGAGCGCAAAAGCTGATAGCTTTATTTTGTGGTCATTGGCTACTGATGTTTGTTTCTTGTTTAGTCCTTCTCAGATTGCTCTAGCATCTGTTTTGTATGCCTCCAAAGGCCTCAGTTTTGATTTCCTGAAGTTTCTTGAACATCTAACAGGCGGTAGCGAAAGTACGGAACGATTCAATAACTTATATTCCAAATTGTGCGTTATCGTTAATAATGTGAAGGCTTTGAAACTACCGAACAAAGATTATGTTGATTCTATTTTGAGGAAAATAAACGATTACCTAGAAGTTCAAAATTCCGGCTTATGAGAGCGTCATATTTTAATTTAATCATAGAACGATCTGATCTTTTTAACAAACTCACGAGCTTAATTACTTATTTTATATATTCAGGGAATATAAATGATCTTGATCTTGGAATTACATTTTCAGGTGCTATGTAACTAAAGCAACTAATGGATTCCAACTTTGCGGGTCTTCTGGAATCTGGGTCGGAATCAGTGCCATTTCTAAGCTGCTCAGAACCGACCATTCCCAGTTTACCTCCTGAAGTACTTCTGAAGGTTTTCCAGTTCCTGGATTCTGATCTTGACATCTGTAGATGTGCTCAAGTGTCCAGGCATTGGCACGATGTCGCTGAAGATCCGACATTACGAGAAGTCCTCACAATTGACACCCTAGGATCTGGATCGATTTTAAATAGCTCAGATTCTAGTGCTCACAATTCGCCATCGGAGTCGAATGGATCTCCGTCGTTAGTGTCAGACGTTCCGGTCGGAGAAGTAGAAGAAAGTTTGGCACTGTTGCCCAAAAGATGTTCTAAACTAGTGTCCTTAGAGTTGAGACAGGTTCCGCCCAATTGCATAGATGGACTCCTAGCTTCGTTCATTTCAGAATGTCAAGAGCTACAAGACCTAACCTTGTCACTTATGACTCCGCCGTTGCGCAATTTTGTCATTTGCCAAGTGGCGTTAGTTTCCCATGTACGGCACTTGACTATCGAAGCTGCACTTCTTTGTAATGAAAACGCTTACGAGCAACTGAGTGCTTGTCAGATGTTGGAGAGTATAACTTTCACTGCGAACGGAAACTTCAACTCTTACCAATTCATGATTGGTCTTCAAATAATGTTCTCTGAGTGCAATAGCCCGTTGGCAAAAATAGCGCTGCCTGAATACGCTCCTCTGTCATCGAATACTCTGTCAATTAACCTAGTACAACTTATATGCTCTCGCTTCGAAAGGACTCTTGTCACCTTTAACATGTGGCCTGTCCGCTCAACGGACCAAGTTGTCGATAGTCTAAGTTCCCTGCCTTACTTGACAAATTTGAGTCTGTTCGAGGCTAAGTTTTCCCGATTCTCGACAGAGCTCTGGGAAAGACTGAGACAAAAAATTAAAGAGTGCTCTGTTCTGCAAATCAGTCACTCGGCTTTTTCAAAACAAGTTGTGGATTTGTTCGGGAAAACGGAATACACCGATATTCGAGAACTTATTTGTGTGAGCTGCGAGTTTGATGATGATACGAGCCTGATAAAGTTTCTGAATAGGTTCAAAAATGTGGTAAATTTAGAATTCCATCTGCATTACGGATTGTCATCTCGTGTCTTGGCTGAAATTTGCAGGAATTTTGCACGCGTTGAGCATCTGACCTTGAGCGATCTGACGGTTCCTGAAAATGATGTGGAACGGATTGAGTTCCTGAAAATATTCAAAGAAAACGAGCTGAAAAGACTGAAGCAACTTAGCCTCGCGTTCATTCGGAAGGAAGAAGATTCGCAAAATACAAAAACGTGCGAAGATTGGAATGTAGACGTCGCGAGGCTGAGGGAAATGATGAAAGGCGTGCTGGATTCAGAATGTGAGCTTCTAATTGAGTTGGATGCAATTTAGTTGTTTTATTTACGTCGGCCTTGTAACATTTTTAAAACCAAATTCACGGTTGGAACGTAGCTTAAAAATAGTAAATTGTTAAATATTAAAGTACTAAAAATTGAAATTATATTGCTTTATTCGAATCTTTTAGAAAGTAACACAAAAGAAGCAATTCTTAAGATTTAGCCGGTGAAATCAGTTGTCTTGTTTCCGGTTGTTTTTTAACCCTTGTGAATGCAATTATATTGTAATCGGGAACTAGAATTTTTGCCGTAAACAACTTGGATTTGTCAGAAAAAAGTAACTCTTAGTAGTGATGACAGCAAGAATATTTGACTTTGAAATTTAAATATCGATAACAAATTTGAATGTTGACAAAATCTGAAAGCTTTTGGTTGAAACTCTGCTGAAAAAAAATCTCGGTTCTTTTTGTTTTTACTTTCATCATCTCATTTTCCGCTTTTTGTTGGCTCAATTATATTATGAGTACGGCGCGCAAAATAATTCACATATTTCATTATAAGTACGAACTCGGTTTTTTAATGAAACTTTATTGAAAATGTCGCTCTTTTTTTGGAGTCATCCTTGCAATTTTTGGCGGAGTTTTATATAACATCTAAAAGATCATGATGTCTTGCTTTTGGTTTCATATCATTTTTTTCAAAAATGAATTCGTATCAGAAATATGTTTTTTAATTGTTTAAAATGTTCATCAGTTTTATTACTCTTGCGATAAGCAAGGGTATTGCAATCAGGTACTAGATTTTTTTCCGTAAATAATTTTGTTCGCAAGATGATTGAAACTTTGGTCATCTCTACTTTCGTCAACGAAAAAAAAATGGAGAACATGCGTTTTTTGAACATGTATGCATTGTAAATACCCGTATTATTCGAAATTTTTCTGTTGGTTGAAGTTTTACTGACTCCGATTTCAGAAACAGGATTTTTCTTTTTCTTTCTCCTTATTCGGCTTTAAAGGTTTCGGCTTATAATATACCGGCTTTTTAGGAGAAAATTTTATCTAAGTGTTTTGAATGGTTTGTAAGTTTTTCCAACAAAAACATATTTTTTCGGTGCAACGTGTGGCTGCTCAAGGATTGTCGGCTTGGTTACCGCTTCATTAGTTTTTATGCTGATTTAACATTCAGTTTTCTTACTTGCTGGCGTTTTTTGTGTGAAAGGAATGTTGATTCTAGACTTTTTCTTCGTGCAAGAAAGTAGTAAAGGGAAATGGTGTAAATAAATCACAAAAACAATTTTTAAAAAATTAGTTTTTTATTCGGGTGTTTTCTCACGGACAGTTTCAGATTCGACAAAAAATTTAAAAGATTGAGCTATGTATCATAATGAAGTCCCTATAGAAGTAGTACGAACGATATTTCGAAAAATTGCATTAATTTGCAAAATGTTTTCTCCGTCAAGGAAATCCATTTTGAATTTTTTGCCTTTTGAAAGAATTTGCTCTTTTCGCCGACAATCATTTCTACGCCAAAAAACCAACGAAGAATTCGCGAAAAAATTTGAAAATGTTAGCGTTGTTTTTGAATAATTTTTGTCAATTTTTCAACTCCTGTATGGTTATAGTTGTGAAATGCCTTGCACATGTTGCTTACTAAGTTCACAAACTTGTTGACGCTCAAGTTTAATGAAGTTGGCACGAAAAAACATGAGTTTCCTAGTTTCGAATTTAACTGAGCACAAAATTTAGCACAGGAAATCCATTCGGTAGACCTAAATTAGTCAAATTTTTTGAAGCTGTTTCCGTCATATTTCTAGATCAACGCATGGATTTTAATTTATTACCCTTGTGATAAGGAAGGGTTCTGCAATCGGGTACAAGACTTTTTTCCCGTACATAACTTTGTTCACAGGACTCTTTTCATCTGGGCTTATTTCCTTGCAGCTTCTTAGCATCCGTTTCATCGCTACAGATATATTTTGTTTGCTGGGATTTAAAATATTTGTCTTGTTCGAATTTTTTTTGTGTCGTTTGTAATTTTACCAACTCGATTGTTGAAGTTTCATATTTTTTCTTTTTTTTTCCGGCTTGATAGGTTTCGGCCTAAAATATATCGACTTAGTGGCTGCATATTGCGTCGTTCAAAAAGCCAAAAAGTTGTTTGTGTGCGTGCGCTTTGAGGGTATGGGGGACTTAATAACTTTTTATAAGTCTATTACTTTTTTTTGATTTTTTTTTCGGCTTCACTTTATTCTTTTTCGTCTTTTTTTTCGGCTCAATAGGTTTCGACTTATTTTAAATCGGCTTAGTGGCCTCATATTATTTCGTTTGACGGGCAAATAAAGTTTGTGTGTGCTAAGGTGAGGGGGACTCTATAATTTTTTAAAGTCTTCATTAGTATCTTTTCAGCTTCAAGGGTTTCTGCTATGGTGTTTTTGGCTTTGCTACTGCTTGGTGATTTTTTTTCGATTCGAATTTTAAATTCTATTGTCTTGGCTTGTTTTTCGTTTCAAAACTAGACCTATACATTTTGATAGATCCAGTTTTTTCGACATTTTCTATTTTTTTTTTCGACTTAGCGGCTTTCTTTTTTTGTATTAAATTAGAATTATTTCATTGGATCTTTTTCATCGTAGATTTCCTTTTTTGTTTGCTATGCCACATTCCTTTTCTATTTTTTAGTAATTATCCATTTTCAATAAACTCTGGCATTAACAGTAATTTATCTTAAGCGAAAGCAACCTTCCTTAAGTAAATTGAAATACCATTGTCTTCAAGGTAGGGCTATTTGAGGCAATGCTGCCCGTTGCCCGCCAGAGTGATATCCCGACAAAGATCTCTCCGCTGCTTCCTGTTTTGTGCCAAGTTTTTGCATCGTCCGAACCACTCACTCTCACGAGTCTTGATCGTAAGTTTGGGCGGCTTCACGTATGTTTTAATTTCATCTCAGTTTATTTTGCGCCACAATTTTTTATTCAAAGTTATCTTTTCCTTGTTAACGTTTTTTTTCGAAATTATACTTCAAATTAAAACGTTCAGTTACTCCTCATATGATGTGACTTTCAGTTAAGGCTTTTAAAAGTTTCAGCATTACCTTGAATTTAACACGTTGATTTTTTGGGAGTCTACAGAACTGTTGTACATAAATTTATTACACAAGCATAGCTTGTGTTATAGTATGAACTTTCTTTTTTTCCACTCTAAGTTGCAGATATTGTTGCGATGCAATTGTTGCGACAAAATGTGTTCATTTTGATCCAGCTATTAAGTACAGCCAATGCTAAGGATATTAACACAGACTTTTATATTACAAATAGTACTTAAGCTTCAAGGCATCTTAGATCTGTAGCGTAGAGGAAGCGAAGGAGACCAGCAGCAAAATAAGAGGGTTCGAACCTCGGCAGGGTCGGATGTTTTTAATTAAGTTTTTCTTATACTAGTTTAAATGCGTCACTTAGCAATTATGTAGACTCATAATTGGCATGTGTTTCTTATGAAATTTTATAGACTCAAAGTTTTACTCATTCAGTTTGTACCAGAATCGTTATCGTTCATATTTTTGCTTGTGTACGCGAAGTGCAACTTTGCGTCTGTGTAAAACTCTGCCGCAAGACCAAAAGACGTCAGCTTAGACATGTACCGATTTACTCTTTCGTTCTTTGTTGCATGAAGTAATTTTGTTAAAAACCGCTCGACGACGTCAGTGATATTGAAAGACTTGCGCTCTTCAGATTGAGCTTTGGAATTAAACCTGGATAGTTTCACAGGTTCTTCAAATAATTACGTTTTATTTTTGCTTAAGTCCCCCAGTAGTGCAATAATTTTTCCGTCAGTTTTGTTGTTAGTGGTGAATAAGCCAGAAAGGATTGTGACAAAAATTTCCGATCATTTTTTCCTTGAGTTTTTCAAGACGTTGAGATCTTGACTGGGGATGTTATTTAAGCCGATTCACTATCTGTGTACCTTACTGATGATAGTTTAGACATGTTTCATAAATAAAATTCTTTAGGAGATGTTTCTAATTGAATCTTGACCATAAATCCAACTTATTTTTCAGCAAAAATGCTTCTTTGTAGCGCTGTGTTATATTTTATTCAATTTTATTATTTTTTCAAGTTAGTGGCGTGCCTTTTGCAAAATGGTTCATTTTTCTCAAAACAAAAAATTGAAATAAGTTGTTCGGCAGTGTATCGACTAGCATAAAAGTTTTAAAATTGAAAATCGTGTCGATTAGCATGAAAATCGAAATAGAAAATTCAATCCTAATAAACTAAAATCATTACACGAAAAAAACATATTTAATGCTATAAAAATTATGCTAGTCGATACATTTTCATGTGTTCTAACTCTTATGCTAGTCGAGCTTTATTTTAGTCGAGCGGTCGTCAAATATTCTATTTACAAGTATCGACTTCCTTCAATTCAACCGAAAGAGTTTCTACCATTAGAAATTGTCGTTACTCCTTTTCTTTTGCTTTAACGATTCAAGTCAAATTTTTTGAAGCATTATGGTTTCAGAAAACTTCATTCATGCGTCACCCAATGACTGAAGTTTCTTGTAAAGGTTTAGGAGTTTATTGTATTGATTTTTTAAAAGCCTGTAATTCTCTTTCACCTAATTGATTCTATCGTACGACCTAATAATTTTTCCGTCCGTTTTGAAGGCCGAGAGTGGCGTGCTAAAGTAAATGGATGTTTTTCCAGTCTTTTTTTTTGGTTAAGTTCCAGAGTGCCATAAGGTTTTCTACTTGGACTTTTGTTGTTTATAATTTTGATAAATGACATGATCGATTTACCAATCACGGTTAAAGCTAAATACTTGTCTTGCTCATTGAGTCTCGTTGTCCCAAAAAATGTCCCAATATCGAGAAAAACAGGTTTAAAATTTTTGATTTTAGTCTGATTTCGAGCGAATAATGCGAGCGAGCAGGCTTACAATAGCCTATTTTTGCTTTAACTTAGGCCATGAAAACTTAGTTTCACTAAAACAGAGTTGTTTTTTTAGCGTCTTTTGGAACGTTTTTTTTTAATTTTTTTTATTTCGTGGTCATTTTTCTACAAATGTGTTGTCCAATTTGCCTTTTTACTCTGATTGTGAAAAATTCCAGTTTCCACTTTTTCGTTCAGGTCGTTTTTATAAAACCATTTAGAAAAAAACGACACTAATTTGAAAAAAAAAATGTAAATTTTTTAGACTATGGTCGGAACATTCTGTGCTACTTGCACTAACCGGCTCTCCTTGTTTTTACTCAAGTTTTGTATGCAAAAATTTGTTGATTTCTGATGTTTTGGCTGTTTGTTTTGGTTAATATTTTCGAGTACTCTCGATCAATTCATGTCTTTTTAGGAGTACAGTTTCAATATATTGTTACCAACCAAGAAAACGGCAACAAGTTTTGATTTCAATTTTATTATGCTTTAACTTTCTTTTACATAGTATCTTTAGTCGGTACAGTCTTTGCTACTTGCATAGCAACCAACTAACCTTGTTATGAGTTTGATAGTTTGATTTTTACGGGATTTTAACTTAGTCGATAGTAGCACATAATGTCTTTTTATTTTTTTTTTTGACATTTTAATTATTTCTCTATTTCTGGTATTATTTTTATGGTTTTGTATCAAACCGTGTCTTGTTGAAATATTCATTTAGATTTTCAGATATACTTCTTCTGATTCTCGATTTTTCGCATCATTCAAATTCAAAATTACAAACACCCTCTAATAACCCTTTTTTTCCCCTTGACTGACTTTTAAGCTCGCCGGTGAGTTTCACGGCGACAACCGTCTTTAATTTTTATCTAGAGTCCCACTTCCAAGCTTGCAATACCTTGTCGCGACTGCGGAAGTGCTTAATTTGAAATGAATCTGAAACTAAAACATAGGATGAGTTTGTACGGAGGTAAACTTGTTATATGGTGAAAAGATGGGAGGCTAAAAGCAGGCTGAATATGTAATAAGCAGAGTTAAAAGTGAGTGTTGAAACTACTGAAATTTAATCAGCTTCCTGTCATTTTTTGTACTTCAGATGAGCATGGACATGGAGACTATAGAGATCCCGGAGGTGCCTCTGGAGAATATCACGGGCGACATATCCGCGCAACTCGACCCCAAAACCAAGTGAGATGCAGATCATTTTTATTTCCTCACGAATCTAACTAGGCTCACCAGAGACTCTGAGTTCAACGAGAGCCCTCTGGGTAGATTTAATATCATCTCAAAAATTGATCGTGCCTTCTATAAAGAATTATTATATCTAGAACAGAGTAGCTCAATTTAGAAAACGAAAAATTTGCGAGGAAAAAGTACATTCATCTAATGGCTAAGTGTACAAAGTTGCCTAGAATACAGTTCGTTCAATTGCTTTCATATTTACGTTTCATATAAACTTGGTATTAATAAACTTGTATGAAATTTGAAATTTTCATTTCCAGAAAATGGACTTGAAGTGAGTCTGTTGTTTGTACGTAGAAATGTCCCGTCTTTTGTCCGCTTCCTCTCTGTGCATGAGGTGTGCGATGTCCACACTCACTTGACCCGTCAGTTGAGACAGTTCGTTCACGTACGCAGTCTGAAAATCTATTCTAGAATCGTAATCCGAACTTAGATTTTCTTCCTCTTTTTGCGCCTGTTCGATCTCGCTTCGCATTTCATCAAGCGAAGGAAGAGTGAAATGTCCTGGAAAGGGCTCAAATTAGCATCGATAATTCATTCTTTTCAGTGAGAATGAACGCGTAGCTTTTTCTTTAAAGAATATGTTTTGCCTGCAGCTTATGCAACTTTTTCTTATGTTTTGATGTTTCAACGTGCAAGAATATGTTTTGCCTGCAGCTGAAAAAATTACCCGAGCAAAATCAGCTAATAAACAAAACTTTTTGAAGTTTGGTTCAGTGATTCGAAATTCGTTTTTTTTCTGTTTTTTCCCAGATTTGTTGAAGTTTTGTCTTTCTTACCCATTATAATATCTGCGCTGAGATGTGACTGCAGCCAGAACATTGTGAAGGTATAATATTGCTCCTGCATGCCCAAGTAGTGCAATTTGGGATACTCTGGAAATACTATCTGTTTATACAGTGGCGGCACCATCCTATTGCTTGTTTTGAGGCGCAGTCTCTCTTCCAGAAAGGGGAATTCGTATTTGTACCCTGTGCAGTAGATTATGACGTCATAACTTCTTTCGCTGCCGTCGATGAATCTAAGCAAGTTGTTTCAGTAGTTTACTCATTTGGCTCCTTGCTTACCAACATAAAGAAAATCAGATTTCCTTGCCTAAAAAATTAGACTTAAAATTCAAGCTATGCATCGAAGAGTTTCCTATGTTTGTTAAAATGGTAAGTTCGCGTATTTTGGATCGTCAAAAAATGTTATTCGTTTTATTGTTTTTTTTCAATTGCTTATCGTTTTAAAAAGCCTACTCATGTATAAATTGGTTTTCATGTTACGTGACAGTGTCGTTGCGTATATAGTTGACTAGTGGCTTCTGGTCTATTCCGTCGGGAAATTTTCTGTCTAGTGGTTCGTATTTGTAGGCTATTGTCACATATTGGGCTCCTTCTTTCAGCACCATGATACTTATGTCTTCAGAAGAGTCACCGGCGCCAATTAGCAGAAGGCGTAAACCTTCGGCATAAAACCGAAGCTTTAATCAGAAATGACAGCAGAGATAAGTAACGTGAGTATCCAGGGCTCAGCAGATGAGCCTTTTATATTTAGCTTTAGTTGTAGCTGTAATATCTGAGTTATTTTCCAGGGGCGGATCTAGGTATTTCTCGAGGGGGGCGGATTTCCAAAAACGTTCGAATTTTTTTTAGGTCGACCAAATTGATTTTTCGAGCTCTCCCAAAGCACTGTCTTGTCCCTATTTTGACAAAAATTTCTGCGCCGCAGGCAAAACTTTGAAAAAACAGGCCAGAAAATCGCATTTTTCGGCGCGCGCTCCCCCCTCAAAATAAGTATATATTGGCGCCATTCGAAAATTTTTGGGTCCATCACCAAAAATGGATATTGGAAAATAGTACAAAGAGGGGACCCTCTGGGTCGGCAGGGAAAATCCCCCTTAATCCGCCCCTGTTATTTTCGTTTTTTATTGAAAAGAAAACTTTTTCCTTCACACGAGTAATTCAGTGAAACTGAAATGAATATTCTTTTTTCGTCGAAGATAAGTTGACTCTTAAGACCGAGTATACCTTTGTATCGTTTGGCGTCTACGAATAACTTGGAGTGAATCACTTTTCCAGGAAATGTTTCCTCACCAGGGTAGGTCACATAATTAGGGTAGTTGAAATGGCCACAAGCAACTATAACGTAGTCAAATTGAGCCTCTTCTTTTTCATCCAATATTTTCTTATTTGGTTTCAAATTTTTCAGCGAAACTTCAAAGGCGCCATCGTTATCATTATAAGATACCCACTCTATCCACGTATTAAAGACAATGTACTTCCTTTGCTTTTCAAGTTTCTCCTTTTTAGTGAGTAGAATCAATTTTTTTTATCATCAACAGGTAAATTTGGGCTTATATTTGAAGGTTATTTTGTGATATTGGACTTCCAAGAAATTGAATTTGATCTGATGGTCCGGCGTGAAAATTCTTCTGTGAAGAACTAGGGTTTGGGAATGCGTTTACGTCGAAACTATGGCTGAGAATATAAATTGTTCCATAATATAGCTTAAATGTTTGAGCGAGCTCTGTAAGCCTGCCGTGGAATGTGGTTTTATAATTTTTATTTAATAAGATTTGACCTATTTGTTGCTTCGAACTATACGAGTAGCTAGAGTTCTCTTTCGTTAGCTATGATTCTCTTGCTGGTATATAAACGGGTCGAAAAATAAATAATCTACCCTATAAACCAGCGGAAAATACGTAACTGTTACAACATAGTTATGTAACAATTATGACACAGTTACGAAACTCTTGCAAATTTCATTCAAATGACGTAACTTTATGCTGGCCCCGCGCTTTCGGCTGGTTCGTTCGGCTGCTTTATTCACACTCTATTCTGTTTTTTTTTGTGAAAAATTTAATCATGTGGAATGATCCTAGAACGGAAATCGGAAATTTGAAAAACATTATTGGCCTTAAGTTGAACTTGTCAGCGAATGTGTTGAGGTATTTGAGAATGTACTCTCGGTCTGGGTAGCAAGGGAACCCTGTCAGATCTGGGTCATCTGACGGAAAGCGAAGTTCAGGCAGCTCCATGCCCTCCTTGCACCCATTGCAGGTCAAGTTGTAATACATGGCCGAGTGCGTCTCCAGTCCGTCTTCTTCCAAACCTTCTTTGCCACTGAAATGATGAATTTAAACTACTGAGAAACCAAGATAATTTTTGCTTATTAATGCTAGAATAATTTTATATTTAATTCCTCATCTCGGGAACCTCATTTTTTGAGAGAGCTCGGGTTTTGATCGACCTAAAAATGCTCATCAATATTTTTCACATGAACTTTCCATCCTTAGCCGGTCTTTTTTAATTATTTCTATCACTCGTCCAGTTTCTGAAATTCTTTTTTTTTCGGTTATCGACAAAACGCCTAAATTATTTCGTTAGTCAGGTGCAAACTTAATGAAACTAAATTTCGTCTCTTTTTGTAAGGTGTTTAAGAAATAATCCACTGAGAATAAGGCCCACTTGAAGTTCCACTCTCCGCCTATTGAGTCATATCTTTCGTAACAAATAACTTCAAACTTCTGCTCGTCCAATTTCTGCAGTGCCCTCAAGCAAGTTAGTCCAGAAGGACCTGCTCCTATTACGCACACTCGCTTAATACAGTCAGTTCCGCTTCGCTCAATCTCGTCAGTCTCGTGCTCGGCAGAGTTCATATTAGTTTTTAGTAGCTTTTTCCGAGGGGCTAAAGTAATCGCAGTTGTTTATTGTGATCACCCATGAAAAGTTTGGCCTAGATTTAGCGATTTCGATAGAAAAATTACGGGGCCCAGGAAATTAGACGACAAGAAATTAGACAACCATAAAGAAACGGAATTTACGGACAACCAGTATTTACTCAGCCTAAAGTTAATTTAAGTCTGTAAACAAATTTCACGCAGTTTCACGCAAGTTATTCTTCAAATTCCGTTATTCTCTGATCTGCTTGTCTAATTTGCTAGTCGTCTAATTTCCTAACTCCCGTTTTTTGTTTTGTGATCACCCACCAAAAAAAAGTGTGGCCGAGATTTAGCGGTTTCGATAGGAAAATTACTTAGCAAACAATCACGGTAAGCTGGAATCTGATCTCAGAAGCAAATGAAGGTGGACATCACTGATATAAAAACGGTTTAAAACAGTTATAAACGTATAAAAAAAACTTTTATACGTTTTTAACAAAACCTGTTATGAAATTAGATATCAAGAATTGGAATTACTCCTTCTCCTACCCAACAGCTATAGCCCAAGAGAGATTTTTTTCGTGGTTTGTAGAAATCTTAAGTTTGCATAGTTAAGTCTCGTGGTTCAGTATTAGTCATTGTTTTTAAATTTGCCGTCGGTCAAGCTGTTAGTGCATAATTTGGGTGGTCCAGTGTACCAAACATGCAATAGTTTCCATATGCAACTTTTCGTATATGCTACGTACGGTTAATGCATCCTGCGACCAAATGCAACATACGGGGCCTAGGAAATTAGACGACAAGCAAATTAGATGACGGTAAAGAAACGGATTTTACGGACAACCAGTATTTACTCAGCCAAAAGTTTTAAGTCACGCAATTTGCACGCATGTTTTTGTCTAAATTAAACAACCAGTATCTACTCAGCCAAAAGATAATCTGTAAACAAGTTTTGCGCAATTTGCACGCAAGTTATTGTCTAAATTCAGCTATTTTCTGATCGTCTAATTTCCTGTCGTCCAAGTTCCTCTACCCCGCAACATACAGTCATCTAATGCATGTCATGGGCCTCTACATCTTTAAAACATCTTTAAAAGAAGCACAAGAAAAGTTTTAGTTTTTGGATTTATTGGAAAAATCAGCTTCAAGTTTTTTGGGAACGATCAAGCCTTCGGAAAGAGGAATCACTCGGAAAAAATTTATTGTATTCTATTGCCAGCGCTACAAACACTTTACATTTCTTTCGTTTGTTTTTGTTTGCGAATCGAAAATTTATGTTTGGATTATTGTTTTCGTAAACTCCCTTTGATGGCGCAAAGTTTTATGGAGACAGCAAAAATGAAACGTTGTTTTAAATTAACTCTTACTAAATTTCAAGATGTTCCCTAGTGCATAATTTGAACACTTTGAAGTGAGGCCGCATCCTCATGTTGTTCCGGTCGTCTGAATCCATTCTTCAGTCACCAAATTTTTACGAAGTTCAGTAGATAATGCAGTCGTGCTGATGTGTTGCTAGCTTACCAGAACCGAGATATTGAAGTGTATAAGAAAGCGCTTGTGGTAGAGAATTTTTATTGCATTCTGTCAGTTTTGATTTTAATTTCATGCATAAAACGCTCAGCGAAAAATAAAATTATTACAGATTTCTATGTCTCTGATTGTTTGAAAGTTTTCCATCGTTCGGTCACTCCATCATGAGAATAGCCTTTTTCTACCCTGGTACGGTGTTTGAATGCAAAATTCGTGTGTGTTCTTTTTGGAATACTTTTGTGAATTTTTCGATGTTGTTTAATTAGGAGCCTCATGCTTTGTTTTCGCTAATCGTGAGTACTTTAAGTCCAATAAGAAAAATGTATTTTTAAGCATGTTCAGATTATAAATAAAAAAAGAGCTTTGATTTGAACTATAATTGAGTCACTGAGTGTATTTTAGGACGCAACTGCAGAACTTGAAGGCCCTGTCTGTGAGTTACTACTCCAAAGTGAGAGAGTGTATGAAGCCATGGAGTGAGTTCGCCAATGTTAGGAGCATGAGCAAGCCCTCCACTGCGGGCGAGGCTGGACACCGGGTGTACGTGAATGTGTTCAAGTACCAGGGCAACTACCTTTGTCTTGTATTCCTCCTATTCGTCTATTCTGTGTGAGTGTTAATTGAGGTTTCATCAGTTATGCTTTCACTTGTGCTTTTGTAATTGAGAAGAAATCGAAAATTTAGATAGGAAATCGAAATGAGACACGTAATGTGTCAGTGTCTGTATCCAACTATTTTTCAATTTCGCATGTTTGGTCATTCAATTTTCGAACTTTTCATTTTTGGTATTAGAGATTGTTCGCAAATGCATTGCCAGTGTCCTGATTTTGATCTGAATTTGATAGAAGTGTTGTGTGTTTTAGTGCAACAAATCCGTACTTGCTGCTCGGAATTGGCCTTGGCTGTTTCACCCACCTGTACTTTGCCACCAAGCGCAACTCCCACGACGGATCAGTCAAAGTGGCAGGTGAGCAAACATTGGATTCTACTAAGTTGGACAAACTGTAATGACAGCAGCAAGAAATAATAACTCTTTAAGCAGTGGCTGATTCAAAAAGCCATTGTGGTATGGGACATTCGAGAGTGTGAGTGAAACATGCAGAAGACTTTTCATTTCAATAAGCAGAAAGAAACAAGATTCTAGCCTATAAGTAGACTATGAATCACTTGTGCGGTCATTGAGGAGGCCAGCAGGAAGACCTGGAGAGAGTTAACCTCCGAGCGGCGGTAGCCGAGTGAGTAAGACACGCGGCCCTTAACACGAAGGTTGCGGGTTCGTATCTCACTTCGGTCACGGTTTGAGGGATCCCAGTGTCATCCGCCTCCTCAAGGTGGGGCTAAAAGTAAGGCCCAAAGTAGACAGGAGAGGAAATAGGGCTGTAGACTAATAAAAAAAAGAGTACGCCTTGAAGTTGAGTCCAAATACCCTGAGCTGAAAGTTCAGGCAGACTCTCCGCGTGATGAATAGGAGAAAAAAAGAGTAAACTAAAGAAAAAGCACCGTTGAAAGGACACAATGTCAAGCCGGCAACATGTCACAGAATGCATTCTCACTATCGCTGCTCTCCAGCATATCGACAACCATGAAAGCGATTGTAACTTTCAAAGAAAGTGTACCTCCCTCGACGTCATTGTAAGTGTCTCGTAAAATGCAACGGACTGGTTGCATGAAAAAAGGAAGAAGTGACTAAAGGCAACCGACTTCAAGACAGCTATCGATCGGATATGGAGACACTACGTCCTCCGATACCTAGCAGTATGGGGCCTGCTCTCGAGGTGTCTTCGCTAGTTGGGAGCCTCCCTCAGGGACAGAGGAGCTGCAGTCAGCTAGAATTCTGAAACAAGGCGTTCCACAGAGCACCCCACTGTCGCTACTCCCAGGTGTCCATATCTCGAGATCACATTGATCAGTTTGCGGACAACCTATTTTTATGCAGGGCGGCGAGATGCCGAACCGGGTAGACGAAAAGATGCAACCAGCTCTTGGCGCCGTTACATACAAAGTTGAGAGGAGCAACATAGAGATAAGCAATGATAATATGTAACAACCAGCATCTCGCTCGACCCCTTGAAGACAGCGGGGAAAGACATTCAGGCGCTGAAGCTGAATGAACTAAAGTTCAAGTACTTATTACCAGGAAGACCTAACCCAAAGACGGGATGTGATATTCGATTGTCAGCTACGCTTTAACTACCAGATCAACAATGCGAAATCTATCGACATTCCGGACTGTTAGGCCAGCAGCGTTGAATGCAACAGGAGTATGGGCATGTTTACTATCGGTGCACCACGCGAGCCAACTGGAAAACTGCATCAACCGAGCCGCCACGAATGTTACCACTAATGTTCAGAAGGAAGATATGTGGTTGGAACATTATGAAACTCCACGGAAGACCAACAGGATCAAAACTCGAACTAGATACACCATGGACAAGGTTAGGAGAGGCGATAATTATGAATTGTTTGTATCCGCTCAGATACTGGAGATGCTAAGAATTTTCACCAATATGCTTCAATCATATCACAGGAGAAATGGAAACGGTGGAACTCTTCTTATTCAGCAGTCCAAGATGTCGACGTGGAGTCTTAGAAAAAAAACCTAATATGCAGACACCTTAGTAAACATCTGCAGAATTCGCTGCAAGAAATGCTATTTGTGAAGTTCGCTGCCAACTTTGACCCCTCAATTAGTGAAAGAAGACTACAAAAAGAACAAACAAAGAATACACAATTTCCTAAAGAAACATTCGTCCGTTTCTGTGCTTTCGATTTACTGGATAATTTGTTAATCGATGCGAATTAATAACAAAGGGCTCAAATATTACTGATTTTCAGTTTTCAATAATTTTTGAAAAATTTTTTCAACATTCATCGAGATCATCGACGTCTTTTTTTTCACAGAGTTTTGATTTTGCTTCCTGTGGTAAATTTAAGTAGTTAATAAATGAGTAATTTAGAATGTCTAAACATTAGTATTAATGCATATGAGGTTTGAGAGGTATTGTGTGCTTCGGCTTGTTCAGGGCGTCAGTTGAGTCTGGGCCAGCAATATGGAGTTCTCTGTGGCATCACCATCCCCCTCCTCTTCCTCGGATCTGCCGGATCAGTACTCTTCTGGTTAATTGGTTAGTCAAACAAATTATTCTGTGATGTATCTGATAGAATTAGATGTCTTTTCGCAATAGTCCTTTTCAGTCGTTTTTTGTTCCGACAATAGAAAATGGGAAGGAACTTTGTATTCGGGTGTGTTTTAGTTTTTTCTTTTGTTTTCCACGCAAAATTAGGTACCAAAAATCGGGCGGATTTAGGTGGGGACGCCCCCTTTCAGGGATTTGACACCCTGTCGACCCAAAGGGTCCCCCTTTGTACTATTTTGAGATATTCATTTTTTAGTGCTTTCGGAGAGCTCGGAAATCAAAGTGGTCGACGAAATTTTTGAAAAATCCGCCCCTCGAAAAAATCCCAGA